GCAACAGAGAGAGAGGAGGGAAACAGGAGATTGACACAGACTTAATAGTGGATTCCCAATATAAAGAAAGGGAAAACAGACTTTCCCTATCACAGCCCCCCTGCGCCTCCGTCTCAGCGAGCTCCGTACCTCGCAGTAAGTCTCATTATGGCAGGTCACCGTTTCGTTGGCATGGGCCTCGTCCTGGTAACACCTCTCCCCAGAGCACTGAAAGCTCTGGCAGGTCAGCTGGAGGGAGAACACAGCGGGGTGTCACCCTGCAGCGAAGCCTCCTCGCGCGGCACCACAGTGCTGTCCCCAACCACGGCCTCGCTGTCTGGAGGGGCTGCCTCTGCGCACCCGCCCGCCATGCCCGAGGTGCTCCCCTTCCACCCCAGGAGATGCTCTCATGGGACTCCTGGCTCCTGCGAGAGACCAGCAGGCCTGGAGACCCTGTCCATGGGGCAGTAACAGCCTGGCCAACGGCCCCCTTCCCTTTCCCTTCCCTTTCCCTTCCCTTTCCTTACCGATGTTTCTTCTGTATTGTTCACAGAGGCGTTGGCGGCCACCGAGGCGTTGGCGGCCACCGAGGCGTTGGCGACTGTGCTGTGCTCTGGAAGACACAAAAGTTCCCCCTTGGTGAAGAAAACACCAACCTCCTGCTCAGCAAGCCCTGCATCCCCTCCTGAGCCTCTGCGTGGTCCAAAGGCATCTGCGGGAAGCATCAGTCACGTTGTGGTTGGGACGTGGGTGGCAGTAAGTGACAGGATGTCCCAAACAAGGCCTGTTTGCAGCCAGCGCCCGGGCAGCCCGACAGCAGGTTGGAGACAACAGACTACCACAGCAGCACTACAGACAGATGTTGGAACACCTTCTCCATCCCCCTTCCAGCCACACTGCATGTGAAGAACAAGCTTTTCTGGGGTAAACACCTTGAAAAAAGGTTCCTCAGTGCAGCTCCATCCTACAGAATACAGCCTGGAGGGGACAGGGATGAAGTCCCTGTTGCACCATGCTGCCTTTGCCCCACTCCCCACAGGAGCCCCAGGTTTCCCTTGGGGTGCAGAGCTCACCTGCTGTGGCAAGAGGGTCCTGGACGCAGAGGTGCAGAGCCAAGATGCAGAGCAGCAGGCCTGGAATGGAGGGGGGATGACTGAGACCACCGCGCCTGCCACCCGCTTTACCCGAAGAGCCTCCCCAGCAGCACAGGCAGTGCGCCCTCAAAAGACTAAATCCAGCCCCCACCAGCCTCCCTGGAGGAGGGTGGTGGCCAGTTCCCCTCCGGGAGGTCGTGGGGAGCCCCACAGACACACCTGAGGTCAGGGACCCATGCTGGCCGCAGGGGACCAGCCCTGCTGCAGAAAGACCCCCGAGCTGCCCAGAGCCCTGGGTGACCAGTGGCCACCCCTCACCCAGGGAGCCTCTGGCACAGCCTCCGACAGCTGGGGCAGGGACAGACGTCCTGGGCACGCCGGGACGGACACCACGCTCCACGCTGCAGCGGAGCCCCCGTTACCTTGAACGGAGGGGACGAGCCATCGGCAAGCAGCCATCTTCATCCACCAGCAACCTCACCCGGGACCTGGCAGGAGGAGGCACAGTCAGAGCTGGGCAGCAGGAGGGGACAGGCCAGCAGGCATTGCCGCCGTCACAGCGGCGCGTGCTCCCTGCGGCTGCTCGGCTCGGGATGAGGCGGCAGAAACAACATCAGGACAAGTTACATAAAAGAGACTTTTCCTGTTCAGTTTTTTTTTTTTTTGAAGAAACCTTTCTTCTAGGAAATTCTACAGCCTTTATTCTGGACGCCATGGGACACCAGAGAAATCCAGGTTGCTCAGCAGTCCGTTTTTGGTCCCTGTAGTAGCAGGACATGCTTTTCAGGCAGGAATAAGTGCCTGGCAATAACAACACCCACCACCAGCACCTCTGAAAACTGCCGTCCAGGTGGTCTCAACAGGCTTTCAACCCAGAAATCATCTAACATATAAATAACCAAATAATTCAGCACCCTCGTCACTGTGCTTGCCTAGGCTTCAAGCAAGAGTCAGGCCCTTTCAGCCACAGCTGCAGCCGGAGGCAGTTGAACAAGCGCAGAGGGGGCCTGGGAGCTGCCTCCCCCAGACTGAACCCCCTCAGCCGCCAGCGCGGTGCTGGCCAGCACGGTCACGCGCTCCGGCAGCAGCGGGTGCCCGCTCCCGAGGGCCGGTTGCCTCTGCCCTGCGGCTCAGCCCAGCACAGCCTCCATCCCCAGCTCTCGTGCCAGCAGCAGCGCGCCCAGCGCAGGGCACAGCCACACAGCTGAGCGGGAGTGCAGGCTCTCCCCGGGAGGCCCGGGGCTCCCCTAGGATGCTGGCACCTCTGGGGAGAGAAGGCAGCTGCCGAGGGCTTGCCCGGCTCCTGCCTGCGTTGCTGCTGAGCACCGCGGTCGGCTGCCGGAGGGTGCAGGGAGGTGAGGGGCAGACACCCCAGTGCAAGTCTGCACTCTGCCTCCAGTACGAGCCTCAGGGCCACAGCACAGTGCTGCAGGCCGCCGCATGCTCGCAGGAGCGGTGCTCAGCCGCGGGGCTCAGCCCCAGGACGTCCACCGCCGCTCCCTCCCGAGAGGCTCTCCAAAAGCACGGCGGACAGCGCCGGCCGAGCAGCGCGTCCGGAGCCACC